AGAGAGAAAGAGAGAGAAAGAGAGTGAAGGATAGAGAAAGAAAGAGAAAGAAAGAGAGAGAGAGAAGAAGAGAAATAAATATATATCTCTATGTCTTTCTTTGTCTTTCTTTGTCTCTCTTTGTCATCTTTGACTCTCTGTCTCTCTCTGTCTCTCTCTGTCTCTCTCTGTCTCTCTCTGTCTCTCTCTGTCTCTCTCTGTCTCTCTCTGTCTCTCTCTCTGACTCTCTCTGTCTCTCTCTCTCTCTCTCTCTGTTTTCTCTCTATCCTGTTCTTTCATCATGGTCCATTTTTTTACTTACCAGGTTTGTCAATATCAAGTGTGACGTGTACGTTGTTTGTATTACCTAAAAAAATTAAAACTATAAAAAAATAAAATAGAGAAAGAATTAAATTAATGCTTTGAATTAAAGCTTTGAATAAATTACTAAAAAAAGTTACCTTATTCAGTATCATTACCAGGGTTTTAAAAATGGCAGGCATTAACAATAATTGCCTATTTTGCCAAATGCCTGCCCTGCCTCTGCCATGCCCTGGGCACTTATTTTCAGGTGGTGACACCTATTATTTTAATTTTATATTATTAATTTATCTATAAAACATCGTTTTATCGATATTTGTTTGTATTTTTATTTTGTATATCTCTACTTAAAAGGTAAAATCATTGGAATTAATTATATTAATTGTAAATTTAATTAACAAGCTAAAAACAGTAAATTACATTATTTTTATAAATTCAGTTGCTTTTTAGCAATTTAATTTGGCAGGCAAATAAAATAGATGCCCAAAATGCCAGGCATTTAGCATTGCCAAGGCAGGCATTTATTTCCTTAAAACCCTGATCATTACCATTATTGTGATTAGTATGATCTTTAGAGTTTACGAGCATCATCATCATAATTATATGTTTTAAACATAAATATTATTATTTTAAAGTTATTTTTTTTAGAAATTATTACTAGTAAAAATGCTTTTATAAAATATTAAAAATAAAAAGTACTTATAAAATAATAAAATATAAATATATACATATATACACATATAATATATATAGTCAATATATATATATATATATATATATATATATATACTAAATTATTTAAGTTACCATGTTCATCATCAGGATTATAAGGCTTAATTATACTGTTAATTATAATTCTAATAATTAAAACTATACTTATTTATTGGAAGGAAAGAGGCTAAGTGATAGATAGATAGATAGATAATAAAATATATACTGATAATAGTAATACATTTAATGTTATTATTAAAAATAAAACATTGTTCATTTTGATCATCTTGATCATTTTAACAAAAATATTATTAATTATTAATTAAATACTTAGTTAAATAATAATAATTAATATTATTTAACTAATCTTATTAACTAATAAATATCTAATAAATTTATTTCGAAATAAAAACTAAAAATAAATTATACTTAAAAACTTCTGTTTTTTTTATTAAAATATTTTTTTTAACCWATTCTGTKATTGACGTGTTTAGTAAAAAAAWTAATTATTAAACTAAAAATACTTTTATTACAAACAAATAAAAAATACAGTAGTATTTAAATATATAAAGTCACTTTCATAACCCCTTTAACTGGTTTTTTATTAATAACTCAAAAACTAATTTAGATATTTAAACCAAAATTTTATGAGAAACATGGATTTCTGGAACGTACAGTTTATACTATAAATTTTAATAATTAATTGCACAGGTAGGCTAGCTCAGGGAGGTGTGATATCTCAAAAACTATAAAAGATATACAAAAATTATAAAATGAATAATATACTAGGTCAAAAATAAATTTAGACGTGTTTCAGGATTTTTTGATAAAACTCATGGTTTATTCATAAATTACGTTTAAACATAAAATTGTGCAATATTCAAAATTGAATATTTCAATATTGTATTAATATAATAATATGTAATTAATCACAAAATATTCTATAATTAATTAATTATTTAAAACAAAAATATCAATTTTTTATACTATAAAATTTTTAGTAAAAAATAAAAAACAAATATTAGAAATAAATTTCAATGTAAATAAGATTATATTTAACGAATTTAATGAAATTAATATCTGGTATTAATTCTATGCCAAATGAATGCAACAAATAATTGCTAATACCAGTGGTCATACCAGATATAAATTTCATCAAATTAATTAAATGTTATCTTATTTACATTGAAATTTATTTCTAATATTTGTTTTTTATTTTTTTACTAAAAATTTTATAATATAAAAAATTGATATTTTTATTTTAAATAATTAATTAATTATAGAATATTTTGTGATTAATTACATATTATTATATTAATACAATATTGAAATATTCAATTTTGAATATTGCACAATTTTATGTTTAAACGTAATTTATGAATAAATCATGAGTTTTATCAAAAAATCCTGAAACACGTCTAAATTTATTTTTGACCTAGTATATTATTCATTTTATAATTTTTGTATATCTTTTATAGTTTTTGAGATATCACACCTCCCTGAGCTAGCCTACCTGTGCAATTAATTATTAAAATTTATAGTATCAAACTGTACGTTCCAGAAATCCATGTTTCTCATAAAATTTTGGTTTAAATATCTAAATTAGTTTTTGAGTTATTAATAAAAAACCAGTTAAAGGGGTTATGAAAGTGACTTTATATTAGTTATGATTAAGCAATTAAGTATAGGGGTAAGCCTATCTAACACCTAAGGCGTGGTTCACATATTACGTTTGCACTTGAGGGGAGGGGGGGGGGTTATCCAAAGCGAACTTTTGCTGAGAACGAGGGGGAGGGGAGGGGTAGAGATTTTAAGTACGTTCGCATTTAGATATTTTATTTCTTGTGGGTGAGTGGTGGGGGGGGGGTAGCGGTTAGGTACATGCGAACGTAATTTTTCAAAATGATTACATACGAACTACGAACAATTGCGAACATAGGGGAGGGAGGAGGGGGTCTAGATTATGTGTACGTAATATATGAAGGTTTTACCTAAAAAGTAAATATTAGTGATTTGTCTCTCTCTCTCTCAAATTTATGTTGTATTTAATATTAAACAAAAATATTTAAATGCTAACAGAGTATTAATATAAATACTGTAAATAAAAATTAATTGTTAAATATTAAATATTTGAAAACATATATATTTGTAAAGATTAGAATAGTTCCCTCCAATTAAGTTCCCACCAATTTTTTTTTAATAAAAAATTGATTTTATTTTTCAATATTTTTATTAATAAATAATTGTTCAAATGTTTCTAAAATAAATAAAATTGATTTTTTTTGGATTTTCAGATTTTTTTTTAAAAATATAATAAAAAAATATAAGATCTATACTGCTATATAGTCTTTTTGATCTAATTATACTAAAAAAAAACTTTTAATTAATTTAATAAATAATTAGTATTTAACTAAATAAATAGATTTTTTTATTATATTTGTATTAATAATAATAATAAATGTATTTTTAGTTTTTTTTAAATTATTTACTAAATACGTCAATTGATTAAAAACACCGAATCGGTCACAAAAAATACAAATAATTATAAAAATAATAAACAGATGTTTAGGAAATATTTTTTTTAACTTTATTTTAATAGTAATAAAAAAAAATAAGTCAAACTAGTAATAGAACTGATAGTTTGAAGATTTTATATCCAAAAACAAAAAATAAACAAATTATATAATAATTTTTATAATAATTATTACAATAATACAAACAAAAATATGAAGATTGTTTTAGTTTTAATTATTACGATCAATGTTTTACTATTATTATTAAATATTGATAATGTGTTATCTGAGGGTGATTTTGATAAATTAGTAAAAGATTATAATAAGCGACGTAAGTTTACAATAACTCTATCTATCTATCTATCTATCTATCTATCTATCTATCTATCTATCTATCTATCTATCTATCTATCTATCTATCTATCTTTCTGTCTATCTATCTATCTATCTATCTATCTATCTATCTATCTATCTATCTATCTATCTATCTATCTTTCTGTCTATCTATCTATCTATCTATCTATCATCTATCTGTCTGTCTGTCTGTCTATCTTTCTGTTTATCTATCTATCTATCTATCTATCTATATATCTATCTATCTATCTATCTATCTTTCTTTCTTTCTTTCTTTCTTTCTGTCTATCTATCTATCTATCTATCTATCTATCTATCTATCTATCTGTTTGTATATCTGTCAGTATATCTGTCAGTCTGTCTGTATATCTGTATGTCTGTCTATCTATCTATCAATCTATTTATCTGTGTTTCATATATGTCTGTCATTGTTTCTATTTCAGTAATAATAAAAATTATAACTGAAATAAAAACTAAAAACAATAATAATTTTTTAATTAAAATAATAATTATAATATTTGTAATTATTATTAGATCCTGATAAACATTATAATCCTAATGCTGTACAAGGTAACTTTTCATAATTTATTTTATATATAAATAAAAAATACTAAATTATTATTAAATAAATCCTAAAAAGATGGTGTCGATCACAGTAATGATGGTCATTCAGGACATCATTCAGGTGGTCATCATTCTAGTGGTGATCACTCTAGTGATGGTCATTCAGGTGGTCATCACTCTAGTGCTGATCACTCTAGTGGTGATCACTCTAGTGGTGATCATTCTAGTGGTGATCACTCTAGTGATAGTCATTCAGGTGGTCATCATTCTAGTGGTGATCACTCTAGTGGTGATCACTCTAGTGGTGATCACTCTAGTGATGGTCATTCAGGTGACGATCATGAGAACAGTTCCACTGAAGACAGCCATAGTTAAGAAAGTACTACTGAATAAAGTGAAAGTCATTTTAAAAAAAAAAAATTAAATTGTAAATGGAATCAATTTTTTTATAATAATAATGAAAATTGTATTAATTTCTTCAGAATTTTTTTTTAAATAAATCTTTTATTAAAATTTATTGAAGTAAAAATATATTTCAACCATTTTTTCATATAACTTGTGTATGTGTATGTGTATGTGTATGTGTATGTGTATGTGTATGTGTATGTGTATGTGTATGTGTATGTGTATGTGTATGTGTATGTGTATGTGTATGTGTATGTGTATGTGTATGTGTATGTGTATGTGTATGTGTATGTGTATGTGTATGTGTATGTGTATGTGTATGTGTATGTGTATGTGTATGTGTATGTGTATGTGTATGTGTATGTGTATGTGTATGTGTATGTGTATGTGTATGTGTATGTGTATGTGTATGTGTATGTGTATGTGTATGTGTATGTGTATGTGTATGTGTATGTGTATGTGTATGTGTATGTGTATGTGTATGTGTATGTGTATGTGTATGTGTGTGTATGTGTATGTGTATGTGTATGTGTATGTGTATGTGTATGTGTATGTGTATGTGTATGTGTATGTGTATGTGTATGTGTATGTGTATGTGTATGTGTATGTGTATGTGTATGTGTATGTGTATGTGTATGTGTATGTGTATGTGTATGTGTATGTGTATGTGTATGTGTATGTGTATGTGTATGTGTATGTGTATGTGTATGTGTATGTGTATGTGTATGTGTATGTGTATGTGTATGTGTATGTGTATGTGTATGTGTATGTGTATGTGTATGTGTATGTGTATGTGTATGTGTATGTGTATGTGTATGTGTATGTGTATGTGTATGTGTATGTGTATGTGTATGTGTATGTGTATGTGTATGTGTATGTGTATGTGTATGTGTATGTGTATGTGTATGTGTATGTGTATGTGTATGTGTATGTGTATGTGTATGTGTATGTGTATGTGTATGTGTATGTGTATGTGTATGTGTATGTGTATGTGTATGTGTATGTGTATGTGTATGTGTATGTGTATGTGTATGTGTATGTGTATGTGTA